GGCACATACCATGGTTATTCATGAGTGTTTGGATTCACATCACTGTGGCAAACTTCACCGTTCATGTTTGCTCTGCCACCCCAATCCCTGAAGAGGGACTCATATTTGTTTTTACTTGCATCTCTCTTAGAGCTAGGGATTTTAAACGTTTTTTATGTGTTTGTCATCTGAGTGTCTTCTTTGGTGACATGCCTGTTGCTATCCTGTGCTCATTTTACATTTGGGTTGTTTACCTTAATCTTGTTGAGGTGCTGGAGTAGGCTATAAATTCTAGATATAAGTCCCTTTTCAGGCATGTCATTACCAAATATATTTTCCTAATCTGTGGCTTTCATTTTTACCCTGCTGGAGAAGTTTTTTGATGTGCATTGTTGTTGTTTGTTACTATGTGCCGTCGAGTTGCTTGTGACTCATAGCGACCCTATGTAGAAGAGCCCTAAACCCCACTCTACCCTGTGCCAACCTCATTGTCTCTGACACACTCACTCCCACCAACCCAATCACAAAATCATTCCATCTCATCAAGGATCTTCTTTTCCTGTGCCGTCCCTCCACTCTCCCAAACATGATGTCCCTCTACAAAGACCCTCCTTGCAACATGCCCAAAGTATGTCAGACAAAGCTTCAGAATCCTTGACTCCAAGGAGCAGTCCAGCTTCACCCTCTCTAGGACAAATCTGTTTGTTTTCCTAGCAGTCCATGGTATATTCAGCATGCTTCTCCAGCACCCCAGCTCAAAGGCATCAATTCTCTTTCTATCATCCCTGGTCACTGTCCATCTCTCCGATGCATAGCACGTAATTGCAAAGACTATAGCCCAGATCAGGCGCACCTTAGTATCCAGCCTGACGTTGTTGCTCTTCAGTATTCTTGAGAGGTCCCTCACAGCTGACTTTCCCAATGCAATTCATCTCCTGATTTCCTGGCTGCTGTTACCAAGAGTGTTGACAGTGGAGCCAAGCAAACTTAAACTGTTAACTATCTCAATCTCTTCACCATCCATACTGATGCTGCCAATTGGTCCAGTGGTGAGAATCTTTTGTTTTCTTGATGTTGAGCTTCAATCTGTATTGAAGGCTGCAGTCCATGATCTTCTGCAGCAAGTGCTTCAGACCCTCCTCAGTTTCAGCAAGCAGGGTTGGGTCATCAGCGTAACTCAGGTTGTTGATGACTTTTCCACCAATCCTGATGCCACATTCCTCCTCATACAGCCCAGTGTCTCAGGTGATCTGTCCTGCATACAGATTGAAAAGATATGGAGACAGAGTACATCCCTGGCAGACTCCTGTCTTGATTTTGAACCATATAGTGCCTTCTTTCTCTGTTCTGATGACTGCCTCTTGGTCCAAGTATAGGCTTTACGTAAGCACAATCAAATGTTCTGGGGTTTCCATTCTTCTCAGAGTAAGCATAGCTTATTGTGATTTACACAGTCAAAAGCCTTTGCATAGTCAATGAAGCACAGATACACATTCCTCTGGTACTTTCTGCTTTCTGCCAAGATCCATCTAACATTAGCTATATAATCCCTAGTACCACGATCTCCTCTAAATCCAGCCTGCACATCTGGCAGTTCTCTGTTGATATATTGCTCCAATGATTTTGGATCATTTTCAGCAGAAACTTGCTTGCATGTGATATTAATGATATTGTTCGATAATTTCCGCACTCTGTTGGGTCACCTTTCTTTAGAATGGGAACAAATATCAATGTTTTCCAGTCAGTTGATGTGCATAGGGATTGAGTTTTAGGTCTCATTCATCTATTTTATTCTATCCTGTTTGTAGGTATTTCAGAATGCTTGGAAGGCTGCTAATTTTGAGGAATAGGACTTCTAGAATTCCTCCAAACTTTTCTCTGATGAAATTTATAGTTCTTGATTTTACTTCTAGGTCTTTGATCCACTTTGAGTCGTGTGTGTGTGTGTGTGTGTGTGTGTGTGTGTGTATGTGTGTGTGTGTGTGTATGGTGTGAGGTGTTGGTCTTGCTTGAGTTTTCCAATTTTCCAATTTTGCCAAAACTGTTTGTTAAAGAGGCTTTCACTTCCCCACTGAATTTATTTAATCTCCTTGTCAAAAATCAGTTGTCCATAGGTAGATGGGCTGATTTCTGGGTTCTCAATTATATTCCATTCATCTGTGTGTCCTTTACAGTCTGTGCGTCTGTATCAGTACCACACTGTCTTGACCACCATGTCTGTGTAGTACAATTTGAGATCAGGGAGTGAGACACCTCCTACTTTGTTACTCTTTTTCAGGAGTGCTTTGCTTCTTCGAGGTCACTTTCTGTTCCAGATGGAATTGGAAATTGCCTTTCCATCCCGTTGAAGAATGGAATTGGTATTTGTATTGGGATTGCATTGAATTTATAGATTGCCTTTGGTTGAATTGTCATTTATACAATATTGAGTCTTCCTATCCATACGCATTGTATAGTCTTCCCTATTTTCCAAGTTTATTTTTCTTTCTTGTAGTAATATTTTATAATTTTCTTTGAATAGGTCTTTTGTATTTCTTGTTAGATTTACTCCCAATTATTTAATCCTCTGATTAGCAATTGTGATGAGTATTGTTTTTCTTGGCTCCATTTCTGTATTCTCTTTGTCACTGTAAAGAAATCTATTTGATTTTTATATATGTTGATCTTGTATTCTGCCACTTTGCTGAATTGGTTTGAATTTCCAGTAATTTTCTCACTGAGTCTTTAGGGTTTTCTAAGTATACTATCATATCATCTGCATAAAGAGATAATTTTACCTCCTCTTTGACAGTTTGGATACTTCTTATTTTCTTCTCTTTCATTATCTGTATTGATAAGACTTCCAATACAAGACTGAATAGAAGTGAAAGTGGGCATCCTTGCCTAGATCCTGTTCTCAAAGAAAATGCCTTCAATCTCTGCATTGAGAATGATGTTGGCTCTTGGTTTTACATAAATACTTTTTACTATGTTGAGGAAATTCCCCTATATTCCTATTTTGTTGAGTGTTTTAATGAGGAAAATTTGTTGGGTTTTTGTCAAAGGCTTTTTCTGCATCAATTGATAGGATCATGTGGTTTTGTCTGTGTAAGTTTAGGTAGGTTGTGGGTTTCTAAGTATTTTTTCCATTTCCTCTAGGTTTTCATATTTGTCTGACTATAGTTTTTCATAATATTCCCTTGTTAACTTTTTCACTTTAGTTGATTCCATTGTGAGATTGGCCCTTTCATCTCTTGTTCAGATTATGTGTGTCTTTTCTTTTCCCCCCCTTTGTTAGTTTTGCTCGTGGTATATAAATTTTCTTGACCTTTTTGAAGAACCAAGTCCTGGTTTTGTTGATGGTTTCAATTGTTTTCCATTTATTTCAGCCCTAATTTTTATAATTTCAGGTTTTTTAGGGGGTGTCGGGTTTTCTTGCTGTTCTTTTTCAATTTGTTGGAGATGATGAGTTAGAGATTCAAGTATCACTTTTTTTTCCTGCCTTTTGATGTGTTTACTTATTGCTATAAATTGACGTCTAATTACTGCTTTGGCTGTTTCCCAGAGGTTTTGGTAAGTTGTATTTTCACTGTCATTTGTTTCAAGAAATTTTTCATTTTTATTTATTCTAGTACCTACCTACTCATGTTTAAGCAAGGTGTTGTTCAGCTCCCAAATGTATGGGGATTTCCCCCTTTATTCTCTTATTATTCATTTCTAATTTTATAGGATTGTGGTCCGAGGAGATGCTTAGTATTATTTCTTTGGTTTTTTTAAGTTATTGATGCTTGCCTTGTGGCCTAAAATGTGATCTATTCTGGACAATGTTCCATGAACATTGGATAAAAAGTTATACTGCACTCTTGTGGGTTTCATTAGCCTGTATATATCTATGAGATTGAGTTGCTTTATTATGTGGCTTAATTATTCAGCGTTTTTGTTGAGTTTCTTTCTGATAGTGCTATTTTTTCTTGAGAGTGGGGTATTGAAGTCTCCTACTACTATACTGGTGTTGTCTATTTCTTTATTGAGTTTTGTTAGTGTTTGCTTTGTATATTTTGCAACTCTACATTTGGTGCATAGATTTTTATTATGGTTGGGTTCTCTTGTTCTATTGACCCTTTAAACATTATATAGTGACTTTCCTTGTCCTTTGTTATGGTTTTTGCATTAAAATCTGTTTTATCACTAGTCTTTTTTTTCTTTTTCAAGTTTTTATTTTATTTTTTTTTTGGTTGGCACTTTTCAATGCATGTAAAATATTTTTTAAAGGAGTTACAACCACAAATGAAAGGATACAACACCTGGGATTTATTCCAAAATCATTCAGAAGAAAGGAAATGGGTATAAAAAGAGATGGAACCAGATTAGTCTGGTTGATCATTGTGGAAACTTGTCGATGGGCACAATAGGATCTATTTACATGGTCTACTTCCATTAAGATGGTGCAGGATAGGACAGGGTTCAGATTTGATATTCATAGGGTCGCTATGAGGCATACTTAACTTGGCAACACCTAAAAATAACAACAACTTCCATTTGAAAGTTCTTTTAATTGAAAGATTAAAAAAATATTATTACTTGAAAGCATTGAGAAAACAACTGGTATACTCTATGCTCAACCTTATACAAAATACAACTAACAGACACATTTTAAGAGTTACTGAGTCAATGCCAGGTACTAACAATAAATTACAAGTGGCAAAGTTTTCAATATTCTGAGATGGAAACTAGACATCTAAGGCACTGAGGCTAAAGGAGTAGATAAAACCAACAAACCAATATAATGTTTAAATTCACCTTACTCATGATCCCTAGATGAGAAGCCTTACATTTGACTTGTCCTTTTACAGCTTATCATCTTTCATTGAGAAATGAAAAGACAATTAATGGCACGAGCTCTGCTTTTGAAGGAACACGTCCTAGCTTTCCTGGAGAACCTTGATTTAAGCGAGCAAACACTTTATATAACCTGGAGAATTCCACTTAACTAGTCACTAACAGAAACAACACAAATAGAATAATGCCAGTTGTTGGGGGCGTCACGACAGGGAAAAGTACTTCCAAATATTCAAGAGGAGGTTGTGGTGGATTGAACACGGCAAGTCCTGCAAGGAAGAAGAACTAAATGTTCTGCATCCAATCAGGTGGCACGGCTCGATGATTTCTTTTTTTTTAATTAAATTTTATTAGTTTTAATGAACATTTACAGGGATTTTGGGTTTTCATTCCTTCATTGTAGCACCATTCTCTCTACCCTCCTCCCCAGTTTGTTCTTCTTCCCCCGCCATCCGAATGTCTGTTTTAATTGTCCAATTGCCACAGTGCTTGTCAAAGTCAGTTCTGATTAATCTCCTTTATCAGTGTGTCCTTTGCCAT